TGAAACCGCAGTGCTTAACGTTAGCCAGCAATCCTGTTTGGGGAAGACTAAGGAAATGGCGTAGTCAGAAGCTACTTTGGGATTTACCCCTAAACTGTCGGCAACAGGGTGGCCAGCCTACCGTGATCCGCCGGTGGAGCGCCAGATCCTTTGGCGGAGTCACGGGGTCCATCGGTCTCCACTTCGAGGCCCAAATGAGCATCCCAGCTGTTCATGATGACCTCTTTCTCGTGGGCGCTCCAAGTGAGGGAATAAGGGTGCTTCTGCCGAATATGCCTCTTGATGGTGCTCAGCTTGAGTGTGGCCAGGGAGCTCCCACACACCATGCAGATCATGCCGTGCCGCGCCGCGTTGAAGTCCATCAGGTATTCGGCCCGCCAGTGCTCGTGGTAATACCGCCGGTGGTCCCGCCCGGGAATCCGGCTCTTGCCCGGTCTCGACGCTCGCGCTTCGCAATGATCCGAGTATTTGCGCCCTCCGGCCAAGAATGCCACAGAGTCCTTTTTGGTAATCCCTCGTAACAAGCCGTTCCCGGCGGGGCGGAGGAGACGTCCGGAGCTTGGCTCACCACCGTTCTGGGAATCGGAGGCCACTTCCGGGAACATGGAGTCTCCTGGCGAGACACAAAGGCTCAGCTTTACTCATTCGGCTATGGGATAAGAAGTGGAGCTGGCTACCAGCTTGCTGGCTTCAAAAAAGGTTGGACTGATTCATGGAAGTCCTGGGGATCGAGGGCTCTTAGTCTTGATGGTCATGGGGTGACCTCTGAAGGCCATCGGCTAGGAGACTGGTGGGCTTCCTTGGGCAGTTGGTTGGCCACTGGGAGAACAGACTGCTGGACCAGATGGGCCACGGCTCCAATCCAGCAGGGCACAGCTTACGTTCCTCAGTTCTTAACATGAGATACTGAAGAGTGGTCTATGAGCTTCTCTACAAGTCCTCTACCACAGAGGCCCTATACGAGATGCTATTCCATTCCTCATTCTCCCCACACCCTTCATATGCAAAGCATTTCTCCCAGTTTTCTGTGGCACCCTTAACTATTATTCATAGTTCTATGATACCTTGGGTGCCCAGGCTCTCTCTTGTGCATGGTGGCACCCTTCTGACTAGGTAACAACCCTGGAATAGCAAAAAAGATACCCAAATGGGGCAATGCCAGGGTGGTGGAGAAAGTGGGCCCTGAAGTAGCAAAAGGGGGCTTCTGAAGAGAGAGGCTGTCAATCTCTACATTTTAGATCTCTGGAAGAGCTAGCAATCCATCAGCGCCAACAAGGTGAGATGGAAATTTAGACTGACAGAGCAAAGGACTTCTTCATGGGGAGGAGGAGGAGGAGGAGGGAGAGGAAGGAGAAGGCAGAGGAGGAGGAGAGGATGATGCAGGAGGAAGACATGATGAAGAGAGGAGGAGGAGGAGGAGGAAAAATGATGATGAGAGGAGGTAATGATGATGAAAGAGGAGCGAGAATGTGATGGTGGAGGAGGAGGGAGAGGAAAGAGAAGGAAGAGAAGAAGATTATAAAGATGATGATGGGGTAGATGGTGATGATGGTAATGATAATGATGGAAGAGGAGAGAGGAGGAAGGAGCTGATGAGGGAGGAGGAAGGAGAAGGAAGAGAAGATGAAGAAAAAGAAGTCAGTTCTTTACAGCAGAAACCATCTGGCACAGAAAAGAGCTCAACAGGAAAGGCACTCCTTAGAGAAACTGGGCAAAGGTTGGAACTGGAGAACCTTCAGTTGGACGATGCCAAAGGACGGGCATTTGCCAGGATTACAAGGCCACCCTGAGCCACCCCACTCTAGCAACGCTTCTTTGCACAGATTATTTAAAAAGCTAAGCTGCAGCCTGCAGAGTGTCTTGGTTTACATGTTCCTCTAAGGCAGGGTTTCTCAACCTCAGCAACTTTAGATGCGTGGACTTCAACTCC